TCACATGTATGGAATCATCACAATGAAATTCCCTCATATTATTAATATATAAGTCAAAAATAAAATTAATAAATTATTTTAAAAGCCAATAATAAATATATGGCTAGATAGAGAATGATGTTGGAATATGAGTTGAAAATTTTTAGAGTAGAAAAAATCTGCAACCCAGTCCTACTCTTGTTCTACAAGTTCTTAGGTAGCTCATTCATTCATTCATTCATTCATTCAGGCAACATTTATTGAGAGCCTACATATGAACAGGCATTGTGTAAGAACCTCAGGAGACCGAGGCAAACCAGAAAGATAAGGTACTGGTCCTCAAAAGTTTAAATTCAAAGGAGAAAGGGAACGTGAGGAGACAGTTGGCAACCACATCAGCAAGCAACCTGAAATAAGTTGTAGACAGACGTGCTATGAAGGAATCGTAACAATGCCATCACCTGTAAAGCTCTTCCAGATGCCAGGTGCTATTCTGAAATATCACTGGAAACAATCTGCCCTATGATAAGATCAGGCCCAAATTCACTCAGAAAATTAATGGTTAAGGCCAAGACTTGAATCCTGCCATCTGACTACAGAATCCAAGTTTTCTCCACTACTGTACCACTCTACATTTGAGGTAAAGCATGTGGAGAGTAGGAATTACTGCAGATAAGGTAGTGAGGGAAAGTCTGTCAGGAGAGTGACATCTGAAGTGAGATCTGAAGAACAAGAAATGCAGCGCTTCTTTCTGACAGTAACTAAAGAGTAAAAGCAGCTGTCTCTTAGGCTTTCCTACTCCACGCCATCTGCACAGAAGAAATACTTATCTTTATACTATCTACAGCAAAGGAGCAAGTTGTTAAACACTTTTTTGTTGTGGAAAAACATGGATGAGTGATATTTCAAACAAATAAAATGAGAAACAATAAAAATTTACAATTCACTACAAACCTACAATACACAGCAATGTTTGAAAAACATCCAAAATCCCATGTTTAGCACTTATTTCAGTCAAACTTTTTGCTTGCTAAGAATCATGTCATTCTTGTCCAAATGACTGCTAAAATTGGATGAGTCAGCTCTGAATTAATGGGGTTGTTAAAATCTTCTCATCTATTTTGTAGACAACTGGTATTTTTGAACAAAGAGGGAAGCAGTTTATTAATTTCTTTCTTTTAACTATACTAAGTCCTTGACAAATATACCTCTTTTATATATTTCCTGGTGTGGTGTCTTTAGAAATTCCCTGGACTTTCCCAGGAAATTCTAAGCTCTCACTGCTTTCTAAATTGTTCAAGTCAAGAAGAGCTTGTTTAAACAAAACAGAATCTATAACCTCTGAGGTGTGGCCAGAAAGAAGTCTGGAAGAGAGAACCTCTGGAGGGGGAGGGTGAATGGGATCAAAAGGGAACCCTTATCTTAAGAGCTAGAGCAGGACTCCAAAGGATAGGGCTATCTACACAGTCTTTCTTTCCCGTACTTACTCCAGCCAACCAGAGACTCTCCTTCTCTATTCAATCTTTGAAGAATTTTGTCTTCTACTGTATTAAGAGGGCATTTGTTTGCAAATCACAATATCATCGCTACTATTTTAGCACCTCCTCTAACACAGGTAGAGATCAAGTTATTCCTGCAGCATTTCCCACCACGTCATTCTTCCTTCCCCATCAGACCTCTTGTTAATTCCAAATTCGCCTTTCAATTTGCCTTTCCTCCAACCCCACAGCTCAACCTCTGAGCCTCTGACCCTCAATCTCCACTGAAGTTCTTCAGTCATACTCCAGGCCCAGCATGTTTATAGGTTTTGCCACAAGCAAGTTCCTTGAGCATTTCCATTACCAACGTCAACCACTAGGACTCAAGGGAAGTTCCAGCTTCTGCTGAGGCCTCTGCAAAGGAACAAGTGGTTGTGGAGGTCTGGAATTTAATTCTGAAAGCGTTTTCTTCATTATGCATGGTGGTGAGGTTCTTTCATTCGGTCATCACTACTCTAGCATATTCTGGGTTAAGGTCTAATCTGAGCTCTAAACCATTCTGCATAAACCCTGTTGAGATTTATCTCATTTGATCTGCTCAAAACCCCTAGGAGATAACTATTTGGGGGCAGCAGTGTGAAGAAGAAGCAAAAGCATATAACACTGATGGAGACTTAAATGTTGGTTTATAAGATATGAGAAAATTACTTAAATTGGGCATGTGGTATACACCTGTAATCCCAGCACTCAGGAGACGAAGGCAGGAGGATCATGAAGTCAAGACCAGCCTGGACTACATAGAAAGATCCTGTCTCAAAGAAAAGCAAAAAAGGAGGAATAGAAAAGGGGAGGGAATGAGGAAGTAATGAAGAACTAAAGAAGGGAGAGTGGACGAAGGGAGGGAGGGAGGAAAGGAGTCAGGAAGGAAGAGAGGGAGGGAAGGAGGTAGGGAGGGAGGGGTGGAAGGAGGGTTGGGAGGGAGACAGGAAGGAAGGGAAAATAATTTAAAAGTGAGTTTTTGTAACACAATCATTTTTTATTGTCTTATTATCCATATGTGCATACAATGCTTGGGTCATTTCTCCCCCCTGCCCCCACCCCCTCCCTTACCCCCACTACGCCCCCTTCCCTCTCTCCCCCACCCCCTCAATACCCAGCAGAAACTATTTTGCCCTTATCTCTAATTTTGTTGAAGACAGAGTATAAGCAATAATAGGAAGGAACAAGGGTTTTTGCTGGTTGAGATAAGGATAGCTATATAGGGAGTTGACTCACATTAATTTCCTGTACGTGTGTTTTGCCTTCTAGGTTAATTCTTTTTGATCTAACCTTTTCTCTAGTTCCTGGTCCCCTTTTCCTATTGGCCTCAGTTTCTTTAAGGTATCTGCTTTAGTTTCTCTGCGTTGAGGGCAACAAATGCTAGCTAATTTTTTAGGCATCTTACCTATCCTCACCCCTCCCTTGTGTGCTCTCGCTTTTATCATGTGCTCAAAGTCCAATCCCCTAGTTGTGTTTGCCCTTGATCTAATGTCCACATATGAGGGAGAACATACGATTTTTGGTCTTTTGGGCCAGGCTAACCTCACTCAGAATGATGTTCTCCAATTCCATCCATTTACCAGCAAATGTAGTTGGTAGGGAATTGAGCTGTCTCCAATTCCCTGAGGGCTGAACCAGGTGTCACTAATCCCCAGATAACTCTTTTCCCCACCTGATGGCTTGACATCAAAGAAATGTTCCTAGACTTCTAGAGATAGAGGATTTGTTTACCACGTCTCAACTAGCAAAACTCTGATTCGAATAAGGAAAATGCCCAGTTGAAAGAAAAGAGGCAAAAGAATGAAAACACTTTCTACTTGGGAAGAAGTTTACTTTTCAACCTAAGTCAGAGTAAATAATCCTAATACCTGGAGTGACTGTGACTCTAGGCTTGCTGTAGGTGGACCTTTTTAAGCCTATCTGCACAATTCTATACCTGCCCAATAACAAAGATATAGTAATACCTCTTCCTGCACTACAAATGAACATCAGCAGATAATATTGATAATACCTAACAAGTAAAGACAGGCTTCATTACTAACCCTGTGTTTACTCACGCTCTTCAGCGTAACTACTCAAGTATTTGGAGGTGTTTGTAGTTTTCCATGACTTAAAGTTAGGATATATAAATTAAGGTACAAAAAGTATTTGTGTTAAGGACCTTTTGCTATTGTTTACCTTCAAAGCAGGGTAATATATTTTAATAAAGAGAACATCTGAAGTGTATGGATAAAAAAGTTCAAGAGTTGTATAGGATTTGACTTACTTTTCTGTAGCTGTACAGGAATCAAACTGATGTTTTTATGAAAACTGGCAAACTCAGTGACTAAGGAGGAAATTGAATGCTGCTATAATGACACAATTCATCATTTTACTCCTAGAATCATGCCAAAACAGATGCCCCAGATAAAAAGATTGCACATTAAGTGATGGTGGTTTTTCTTTTTTACATGCTTAAGATGTATGCTTTGATATTTTATACAACCAAATTACTTTCAACTCCCCAAACAATTCATGTTTTCTCTTACTTTGGGGCTTCTGCATGTGCTGGTCTCCCGCCTGGGTGTTCTCTTGGTTAACCTCTACTTATCCATCTACTTCTTCCAGAAGCCATCTGGGGACCTCAGCAACCCTGAATGGTCTTTAGGCTGTGGTTTCAATCTTTGAAAATGCCTTCGATTTTGTTTCCAGCAAGAAATAATTATTACTAAAGAAAATTTAGTTGATGATATTCAATGTAATAAAGGTCTATTATAAATTGTAACTTAGTTCAGTTTTCATTTGTGCTTCTCTTTAAAATAAAAGAACAGCAGTTACTTCATGCACATTCTTTAAAAAGACTTCACTGAGTGAGGTTTGGCCTACAAGCTTTCTGAGTAATGCTAATTAAAAAAGGAGGAAGGCGCTAAGAAGTTACTGGAATATGATGGAGTCATTTGTTTATTTAATAAATGGGTATTGAAGGTCTACTCTGCAAATCACTCTTCTAGTTCTGATGACATGCCAGATAATGAAAGAAATACATAAAAAATACATTAATTTCCCAACTTACTCAGGACCTTTTGTATTTGTTATTTATTTATTTATTTTTGGTAGTATTGGAGATTTGAGCTCAGGGCCTCATGCTTACTAATCCGGTGCTACTCCACTTGAGCCAAGCTCCCCCACCTCCACCCTCACCCAGCACTCTCAGGAACTTTATTAACACTCTGATCCCAAACCAGCAAATGGAAGAGAAAACTTGGAGCTAGTGTAGGTGAGGGACAGTAAGTACACAGTATCTTTAACAAGACACAGGAATGCTTTTAACAGGAAGACAGGTAAGGAGTTTCAAACATTTCACAGTCTTCAGTAATTGAAGGACAGAATGTAGGAATTCTTCCTAACATGCCGCCATGATCTGGAACAGGGCATTCCTGGTGCTTTGTGTTGTGAGGACCTCTTACTACTTAGATTTCATAATCAAGACATATTTACTAAGCCAGATGCTACTGCATAACTTACCTCAACATATGAAATTGGAAATATTCCTATTTTGTCTGCCAGCATTCCCTCAGCCCAGTTTTCATCCACTCTGCGAATCACAGTCAGAACATCATCCTGAAGAAACAGCAAATCATTAGTCTCCCTTATCCCACTAATTTATCAATTAATTTTCCTTCTCAATAAAGGAACTCAAGTTTTAAGAATAGATGAATAAAAATTCCATGACATATCTTTAGTATATAAATTCAATGTTTTCACTAACCAAGTGAAACTGACTCCCTCTTAGCCAGTTTTGAAACTATTTTTAAAAATTTGTTTTTGATGGTACTGGGGTTTGAAGTCAGGGCTTTGCACTTGCTAGGCAAAAATTCTACCACTTGAACCATACTCACCCAAACTATGAACTTTACTCAAGGGGTTGAATGTGTATTTTATTTAGATTCATAAATTGCAACTTGAAAGTTTACCCACCCAGCATCTTGAATTTCTATTAGATTGTTCTCAGATGTGCCTCACTTTCTCTCTGATAACACAGAGACATGCCCATTCAAATACAGACCCTATTGCCTTTCTTTACAAAAACACAATTTTCTGCTTAAATTCTAAATCATTTTATCAATTCAGTAAATATGTTCCTATGTGCTTTTAAGCAAAGAAATTTACATGTAAAGTAAGGAAGTAATGCTGTTTCATTTGTTATTCATAATTCAGTACTTTTTATATCCCTGGGTGGCATACATAGCCTTCAAAGTGACTTAGAAATAAAGTAGGCTCTAAATATAAAAATGATACCACACAGAACATCAGCCAGAATTATCTTGCACTAAATATGAAAATGATACCACATAGAACATCAACCAGAATTATCTTGCATAGAGAAGTCAATGTACAAAATTACTTTCCTTGTGACTTAAAGAAAACTGCCTCCAGGTATTTTAGAAGCACGGTGAGAGGAGTTCACATGAAACTTCTATCTTTTTGCAAAAGGAAATACCAGCCATATTCCAGATAGGGAGGAATAAGTGGGAAACTGAAAATGATCTCATTGTAACCTCACCTTTGCAAATGGGAGGCAATCTTTATCTGCTTCCTTGTCTTTCACTTCAAAGTCATAAAGAGCTTTGCACTGAGGTGGGGGCTGAGGTAATGGTTTAACAATCTGTACGAAGTTGGTAGGGAAAAAGCCATGGATTCCGTTGACTTCCCCATGGTACCAATTTTCATCCACTTGCCGTCGCAAAATGATGATATCTCCTTTGCTGAATTTAAGGTCTCCAGGCTCTTTTCCTTCGTAGTTATACAATGCTTTGGCACATGGTAACTGAGGTATACCCTTAAAGAAAGAGATTGGATTTTAATGAATAACATAATGCCTCTGGAAACATAATTGTACAATCATTGTCTTTAAGTCAAGGTGAAATCCACACTTGCCTTTTGAAGTAAATCTTTCAGGAAACTACTCACACGCACTACCAATAAATAATGAATACACAACAAATGTCTATAGTGAGATAAAAACAGTAGTGGATCCGTGTGCCAGCCACAATGGAGCCTTCTATTCCTATATTTAATTTAGTGTGTGCTTTAGTCTTGCTTGTCTGGTATTATTGGCACATAAAAGTACAACTGCTGACTCTGACTGCATGGTATGAAATTTTAAAAGTCATAAAAAAGTTAATTTCTAAATTAACTATCTAATTCATCAGGATAGCTAATAAGTACTGAGAAAAAAATTTAAACAGAAGCACAATTCATCATTTCCTAAATGCTCTTAATCTCTTCTTAAACGCTGATAAAAATCACTGTTTAGGGTGGGAAGTGTGGCTCAAGTGGTAGAGTATTTACCTAGCAAGTGTGAGGCCCTGAGTTCAAACCCCAGTACAACCAACTCTCCCCCTCCCACAAAAAAATCAAGAGTTTGGACTTTTGGACAGACATTCCTGATATGGCTTGTAATGCAGGCAGGAGGTCTTATTCCTTCATGAAGTCAACAAGTACTTACTGAGGGTCTATTCTATACCCAAGTCAGGAATGCTACAGAGGCCATAAGCCCCTGTGTTCTCAGAGTTTGTAATCTCTAAGTGTTCAGACATACAGTCTTTTACAATTAAAGATTATTCTTTCTTGGTTATAAAGTACTATGAGGCCAGTAAGCTAAGAGATGAGATTCAAACATAACTGCATTGCATTATGGTTCAAATGCTGTGTGCACTGTGGTTTAACACTGTGTGTATGCCCAAGGCAATTTAATCATCAGATGGATCAAATAAGATACTTCCCAGTGACACCAAGTTGCCCATCCATGAGCAGATCTTTAAGCTGGTACTTAAAGATCTCTGGTTTCTGTGGAGCACTGCTGCCTATCATTAATTCAGAGGATAAATGGCAAATCAAACCTGTCTTTAATAACTCACTGAATGAGATTACCAGCTCCTGCTTCATTTATGTATTCACTCATCAAGAAAACACTTGTATCAAACTTTTACTTTTTTATCAGGCAATGTGCTAGGACTGAGAATTTAAGCAGGAATAAGGAACAGTTCTTTTCCTTAAGGGATAAGACATTACAAATAATAATAGTGTAGGAAATGCAATGGTAGAAATGTGCACACTGTGTATGAGAGCAGAGAACTTGAGATTGGAGGGATGGGAACACGAAACACTTCCCAAGTCTTACATAATAGGTAGAAGTTAGCCAGGCAAGGTCAGAGTGAAGGAATGGCAAGTGGGAGCACTCCAGGCAGAGAGAACTGCAGCAGCCAGGAGCCTCAGCAAGGGTGAGGAAATGAGAAACACCATGCTGTGCAGAGGGATTGGGGTTTATACACAGTGTTCCTGTACAAGAATTAAGGGGCGTAAAGTATAGGAGAGGCAGGTGAAGGCCAATTTATGACTGGCCTTAAATGACATGTTAAGAACTGGATTGCTGTGTCCTGTGACCAACAATGAATCCCTCATGGTTCGAACACAGGTGGACATGGTAAACCATGTATCAGACCGATCAACATGGTGGCAATATGGAAAACAGACCTGAAGTGGGCAGCTATGTGCAAAGCATAAGCCTAAAGTAGTTCAATTTTTAAAAGTTTAATTTTTCCAGTGAAGTAGTACAATAAGAAGCATTAAGCTTTCCCACATTCCATCAACAAAAAAAAGTGTATCAAAATTTTATACCCTTGCTGGCAACAAAACTTCACAGTGCAGTTTTCAATAATTACTTTGGTTTCTAGTCAGAGACCTAAAGTCTGACCTTCCCATAAGCCAACCATTTTTGCTAAATATTTCTCTTTGACTTAAAATGAATAATAATTCTTGCTCTCAAAATGCTATGCGCAAGTCTTCTTGCCCTGGTTTGGTCCATGAGATGCTGTGGCCTATTGGTTAAAGTGGCTCTGAGAGGCCAGTATCCAGGCAGGACAGAAGTTCAGCCTCCTAGAGGTACTGATGCACCCCTGTGCCCTCTGACTTTTGACTCTGCCTTAGGACCTGGCCTCTAAGGGACTGAATTCAGTTATTCAGCCTTGACATAATCTTGTAAGTAATTCTGCTGCGCCCTTTGACTCCCTGCAAAAAAGCAACACCATTCAGAAACTCGGGTCCTTCACCATGCTGTGAACTCTGACCACATTCCAGTCACACCCAATTTTGTAGAAGGCAGAATTCTAATTTTTGTCTAAACTCACATATGCTTCACTGCATTCTCTACATACTACATTACGTATTTCTTAAGCAGGTTATCACTGCTTAACAGTATTTCCCAAGAAAAGTTTGAGGAAAAAAACACAGTAAAAGTATTACTAGGGGGGGACAGAAGGAGAACAGACAAGAGATTAACAAGAGAACTAAAATAACTCTTGCAATGCAGCTGAGGAGACTGTGTCCAGGCAGTGGAGGGAAGGAGGTGGAAGCACAGACTGTACAGCTTGAATCTCAGCTTCAGCCCTTACTAGCTGTGTGATCCTGGGCATGTCAGCCTCTCTCTGCCTCACTTTATCCACTGGATTATTGTGAGGATTTGCTGAGCTCATGTATTTCAACCTCCTCAAATGTCCCAGACGGAAGTAAGTGCTATATGCATGAATCACCACCACCACCACCATCATCACCACCACCACCACCATCATCACCATGCTTAGTGTGAAAAGCCTGGTCACCAGTGAAATGGGGCAGCTGACAAGGTATTTGTCTCTGTGCAGCTGGATGCTTTTCCCTTTGGATGAATTCACAAAGCAATTACATTTTTAATATATATTCTCTAACAATGCAAAGAATGTTCCTCCTAGAAGGGTTCAGGATTTTGAAATGTGCATTTCTGAAGCACACATTTGTTTTCTGAGTAGAATCCATTCATCTTCTGGTTGAACAGAAGAAATTACAAATTCACTGACACGCACCATTTAATAGGGGATGGCATCTTAGATGTGGCTGTAGTTCATCTTGACAGGGCTAATGTACGGCACTGGAAGCTGGCATGAATTAATTGGAAATCCCATTACAAACTCAGTGACAAATAACTCTATTCACCATCAGGGCCCATTCTTTCAATTTTTCCCCACTTCAATTAGCTCTATTTGGCCACTCTGCCCAAATTCATGCCAGCCAAATCGATGCACAAGGATTCAGATTCAGCACTCTTAGAAACCATTCTGAACTGCTCCCTGAAGAGCCTGTAAAATTCCAAACGACCAGCAATATGGTTCTTTTGTGATATGCCAATGTGAGAGCTGAGGGAATTTATTTCTTTATAGATCACTTCCACACACCAGTGGCCTAATGGACTTATTAACTATTCCACAAAGCTAATCTATTAAGCACTCCTAGAATCATGAAGAATTCTTAATAAGAACAAGTGGCAAGGCGAAAACTTATTATGATAACAGTGGTATACATTATGGCTAGCCTAGGGTTACATCCCCGTGGTGCAAGCCAAAAATTCATTAAGTCACACTGACTTGCTAAATGTTGACTGCCACGGTTATTTCGGTGATCAATAACCACAGAGAATGAAAACTTATGGCCACCCAACCCGTTAGCAGACATTCATGCATCTGGCAGTGTTTTTCTATGGTGTTCTTTTTCAATTACGTTCTAAGACACTAAAAAGCCAGTTTGTGTCAAGTTTCTCAAAAGAAGGTTTCCCACATTAAAGAACATGAATTCTCCTCTGATTTCAAATCAAGCAAAGTTCAGTGATCTTTAGAAAACAGCCCCACACAGACGGCAGATGATCAAGGATAAACGGTTAAACGACTTGGAAGAGCAATGAAAGAACACATTTTCCTTCTGTAACATCTGAGGGATAAAGCCAAAACAATTGGTTTGAAAACCTAGGACTACTCTTGTGGGTAAAATACGTCCGGAGCCCAGGGAGGCAAGGCCTTCTTATTCATCTCCTTAGAAAGGTCTGGGGGTCATGTCGTCACCCAGGCCTTTGCCCCCTGCGCCTTCAGCAAACTTTCCAAACTGCTGCTTTTCTTCGGATCCTCTCATCAGGCCCAAGGCCCCCAAGGATCTGCAGAGCTTACATTTCACTTGGAGACTTTCACTTGGCTACACATGAAAGGGAGGCTTAAAGTGAGAGAAAGCCAGAGAGAAGCCGACACTGCAGTCTAACCTTGGGTGTGTGGCTGTCACTCACACTGCCAGCTTTATCAAAAAGCCTGACAATTTAGACAGGCAAAGTATTATAACAATTCTGCTTCAACAGCAATTTCAATAAACAGTGAATTATTTTGCTTGTTTTTTAAGAAAACAGTAGACCTCCTTTACTTTTCCAATAATTTTTGTTTCTAAATTTATACACACTTGTTATTGCACAAGACATTAAAATACTCCGGCGATCTGCACACAAATATTTTTGATTAAGTGCTGTCTGCTTCCATTTCCATGCCATCAAGTCTATTCCAATATATCTGGCCAAATGCTACTTGATGATCCAGCTGCAATTCAAACAGGTAAATAAGACATCACTGCAATTTATTTTATAGAGTCTAAATGCCAATGCACAGATATACATGCAAGACAATCTCTAAATTCAAATTCCTTCATGCATTCCTTACTGCTCCATAAAGTAAAAAAGATTCAATGACCTACTAAAAGGAAAATGCAGAAGACACTGTTACAGTGGGAACAGCTATAAAATGTGTATAACTTAATAACTTAGTTATATCTAAATTGGCACAAGTTCTGCCTGATTCCAACTTGACTTTCTCAAACTTTCCAGGAAAACTGAAGTACAAAGAAATCAGTAACAGAAAGTACCACACACAGAGTATAAGCAGCAAAATAGGTTGAGGAAAGAATTTTTTAAAATGTGTTTTGTATCATAAAATA